GGCTCATGGAAGCAGAAAGCTTCAGTTCTGTGACAATGTTTTGACCTCCAACATACCCTGAGATTTTATGCCGAAAATAGGCTTTTACTTGTTTTTACTTTTTAGCCCCTTTTTTTAATCAAAATTTCCAACAATTTGCCAATTTTCCAGAAATGTGAGCATGACAGTTGCCCCCCACCCCCACCAAACTTGTTGTACATATAGGCCTAGAGGCCTGCTAGCTTTTTCTCATTGAGCTTTAATTGCATATGGTACTATAGGGAAATTTCTCAATGTTGTTGCAAAATGGCCTGGTGCAACCCATGACAGTCATATCTTCAGAACATCAGCAATTGGGCTGCCACTAGAAGGAACAACATTGGATGATGGTGTTCTTCTTGGTGATAGTGGGTATCCATGTTTACCATATCTTATGACACAATACAACAACCCCATCACCGTACAGCAACGGCGATTTAATCGAGCACAAAAATGCACAAGATCTTCGATTGAAAGAGCTTTTGGCATCTTAAAAAGAAGATTTCATCTCTTTTATTCAGAGATTCCAATGGCCCCAAACAGAGTTTGCACCCTTGTTGCTGCATGTTGCGTGCTTCACAATATTGCCATTGATTACAATGAACCAATGGGGTATCATGATGAGGATGAAGACCAAGTAGACCTTGGCAATAACTATCAAGGTGCAAATAGGGGAAATGCTGTCAGAAGCCATATTACAAACACATATTTTTAATTCATGTTTCAAAAAATTGTACCGATAATTCAAATTTCTAATTGACATAATTAACTTAATATTATTTGTTATCGTTACATATACAGTCGAACCTGTATTAAGCGGCACCGTATTAAGCGGTCACCCTTTGTTAAGCGGTCATGTGGCAAAGTCCCGAAAATTTCATAATATAAATACTAGTTAAGTGACCTTTATTGAACGGTCACCTCTATTAAGCGGACGCGGTCACCCTTTCCACGGTCCCAAACTTAATTTTTCATTGTTTTGAAACTGTATTAAACGGTAAGTGGAAAGTAACTACAGCAAACATGAAACATAATACAATATATTATTATAATTAAATCTTTATTCGGCAAAATGTCAAAGTTTTAAGTTGTGTTTATCTCATTACTCGAACTTCCGTGATCACTAAAAGTGTCAACAGTCTTTTCAGTCCGTGTGGACGTGTTATTCAAGCAATTTAAATATTTCTTGTGTCAACTTTCCCTTCAGCCACTGACACGAAAATGTATCTCCATGAAAGTGATACTCGCACGGAATTTCTAAGCAATAACCACCTCCTCTGTTGACACGCTTTCCTTTGACGATTATTTTACCAGAATTTGTCTGCCGTTTTAAAAACTTTGTCAGCCATAGTGCCATAAGTTTCGGGCATCGAGTTTTGGTTCCCAGTCGTCCATGTACGCATGATACCCCCGAATAAATGAACTAACTCGAAGTGTTGCTCTATTCCTTTCAGTGTAATTTACTTTAGTCTCATATTCTGCAGCATGCATGTTTATACTTTATAACCAGAATGTCGGTAGTGTTTTTGTAAAAATGAATCAGCTGGTAAATTGCCCAAATCGCGTGTCAAATTTCACGACACTTCCTTATTTCATGTTTGGCCAGACACTGTCTGGTTTGAAAAAATGCTTTTCTGACGATGTCATATTAAACCAGTGCGAGAAGCGATCAAATCCAGTGATGAATTGCAAAAAATTGCTCAATTTAACGGACACCAAGAGCTTTCGCTTGCTATGTCAGGGGTGAATGACTTGTTGAGTCAAATTAAACTGAGCAGTCCGCAACAACAAACAAAAATTCATGACTAATTTTCAGCGGTTTAAGCTGTGACATTTTTATTTTACAGTAGTACATGTAGTCTCAACTCAGAAACAATTCAGAAACAATTTGCAGTTTTATATACTTTTTAATTGGTTACTTGGTATGTGTATTGAAATGTATTACTGTTTAGGTCAAATTTAGTTATATTAAATGTTATATTTAAGCCGTGGGGTGATTTTCTACAAGACCTGTATTAAGCGGTCAACCTGTATTAAGCGGTCACTTGCGAAATATCCGAGGGTGACCGCTTAATACAGGTTCGACTGTATTTACAAAAATATTTGCTGCCGTAGCGAGCGAGCGTGAAGCGAGCGAGCGAGGCAGCAGTCCTAATCTTTATGTATATATATATATATATATATATATATATATATATATATATATATATATATATATATATATATATATATATATATATATAAGGCAGATGAAATCTCGAACGTTTTGGCGTATTTCGGCCTACCACAATGCACTGCTTCCGGGCCGGCAGGCTATTCCTGCCTAATAAACAGGCATAAGGCAAACAAGCAGTGTGATCATCTTTCATCTTTGGTTTTCTTTTATGGAAAGCCATAGCTGGCACAAGTGATCAAACGGCATTTTGTCGATACGCAGTGGTTCGAACGTTATACGCGGTGGTTTCGCTATTATACGCAGTGGTTCGAACATTATATATATATATATATATATATATATATATATATATATATATATATATATATATATATATATATATATATATATATATATATATATATAGTGCGTTCGCCATTATACGCGGTGAGTTCGCCATTATACGCAGTGGTTCGAGCATTATACGCGGTGCTTTCGTCATTATACGGGGTGCTTTTAACATAATTTCCATATTCTTTCCATGTATAAAATCTCACGATTGCTTAATAAATCTGGTAGGCCTATGTGGCTGTGCTTTTTGCCTCTGGTCTGCAATGACAATGACATGCTTTTAAAAAAGTTTATTTATAAAAAGGTGACTCAGTGACTGCACTTTGTGAGTTCTTATATATTATCATATAGTGTTGATTTATTAGTAATAAATATGTGTATATAACATAGGTATATAAATTAATATAACGTAGCGAATGCGCGCCAAGCAGTATAAACGCGGCTGAAATACGATATTAAAATCTTGAATGTGCCGTATCACCCGTATGATTTAATTATGTTTTAGGATTTAAAGCCTTTAAAAATGCTTTGTCATTTGTATTTGTACTTGTACTGCATCACAACGCAGTGCGTAAGTGAACAGATTCCACATGTGAGGTTGTCTTGTATATATTTTGGCCTTCTTTGATCAACATTATTAAACACGCAAATTTAGTGGGACGCACACTCGCACATGTTAAATGTCACCTGCATGTCATTGTCATTGCCCTTTAACCCCTGGTCTAAATCATATGATTATTCAAGCGGGGCCGTTTTGACCTAGCACCGTATTTGTAGGCAAATTGTCTATACAATTTTATATACTAGATATCACAGCCATACCTGCCATTTTGATCTTTTCCTCGCGTTAGATAAGTTGATAAGTACACTCATTCTTGTTAGCCATCGTACCTGTTCGGCTGTTCCTCTTTCGATACGAAACTTCGAGCGCCGAGTTATCATACGGCACATTCAAGTGTATAAATTATGGATGATTCCAACGGACCATTCCCCGATTAACCAAAATTTTGAACTCAACAAATCTAGACTTTGCAATTTTCAGTCATTTTAGAGTACAAACGGGAGATGGTTACCACTTTTGTGCGTAATACAAATTACAAAATGCCTGATAATTACAAACTTCGCAAGGCTATATTATCCGCATTTTACAACATTTTGCAACGCAACTTTGGAATATTACTAATTTTGTGATGCTCTTTCAAGTTGTGATGAAATTTTTGTTTATGCTAATTAAGATCAAAATTTTGGAAAAGTGGTAACCATTTCCCGTTTGTAATCTAAAATGACTGAAAATTGCAAATTTCACAAGGCTATATTATCCGCATTTTACAACATTTCGCAACGAAACATTGGAATATTACTAATTTTGCGATGCTCTTTGATGCTATGATGGAATTTTGTCTAGATTTGTTGAGATCAAAATTTTGGTTAATTGGGGAGTGGTGATTACAAATATTTCTTACTCTTATTCTTTAAAATATTAAAGATTTGGGAACAATGCTATACCAAGGCAGCATTCACTACCATGTGGGCAAACTAGTTTTAATTTATATTCAACAATTAATTCTGTACAAAAATTTGCGAAAGTTGCTTAATTAATTAATTTAATATTTGGAATCTGATATACACTGTCGTAGTATTATTCTTCAAAAAAATAAGCATAACAACGCACGGCATACAAAAGATGCAACAATATAATAAGGTCTAAAAATGGAGACCTTGCATGGTTTTAATTAAGCATACAATACACCCTTTCGATGATTATGTCATTTGGCCTGGGAGCCTCGCTCTCATGAATTGTGAGCCAATCACTTTGCATAATTCACTAACGAAAGCAAGGGTTCAAGACCAAAAAGATTGTGTGACGTAATTATTGAAAGGGTGTATTGTGTGGCATGCATATATTCAATGGGTGTAATATACCTTTCAAATATAAACAATAAAACAAACTCAACTTGTCATTCAAATTAAAATGCTGCCTGTTCTGCTTCTTTAACTTCCAGTTTTAGTTGTTTTTTAATGAGTTTTGCATTCTCTAATTCAACAGAAATCTTTTTCCCCTCTAATTCCAAGATTTCCATCTGCATTCTCTGCAGGTCTTGCGCTGTTACTTTCCTTTTTTGATATGGCGAGTAGACTGGAACTTCGTAAATTGCAACAAAATATTCGCAAGTTGCTGTTTATTTGGATGTAAATAGAATCTGCTTAATGGGACAAGGGTTTAATACAGCTTCTTGCCTTGCTGGCAAATGATATTTTAAAAGCTCTCAGCTAGGACAGCTGTTATCTCACAATAGGTATTGTACAATTCAAGCACACAGAACATATTAATTTGAAAAATAGATAAATTTGGCAAAGTTAGTTACATTGTTGCTATGCAATTCACAACTTTAAATATTCATGCCTAGTTAGTGTTCTACAGTAGTTCACACATAGAATAGAACGGAGGTAACTAAGCATTTGATAATTAGCCCTATACCCTATAAAAGTCATTCATTTATTCATGTAGCTAGATAATTCTAAAGCTTAGTTATCTTTGTTCTTCTCTATGCTTAAGTACACTAGAACAATGATACTTAGGCATGTGACTTATGTAAGGTTGTGAATTGGATATAACCAAACTTAGACAAATTTGTTTATCGTCTATAGTCCGGGGACTTGTTTGATGAACTTTGTTTTAATTTTCCTTGAATCCCATTTTTAACAAAAACAATTTCATTATATGAACACATAAACTTAGCAAACAAATTATAGCAGTCTTAATCTCAATCAGATGCAGCGTAATGTGCAATAGCCCCAGCGACTAACGCTCAATAGAGCGTCTTGTTTACATGAAATGGACCTTTCCCCTTATAACTAAAATTTCGATCTAGACAAAAATTTCATCACAGCTTGAAAGAGCATCACAAAATTAGTAATATTCCAAAGTTTTGTTGCAAAATCTTGTAAAATGCAGATAATATAGCCTTGCGAAGTTTGCCGTTTTTCAGTCATTTTGTATTACAAACGGGAAATTGACATCCGATTCGGGTGTTGGGGCTGCAATTTCCCGTTTGTAATGCAAAATGACTGAAGAACGGCAAACTTCGCATGGCTATATTATCCGCATTTTACAAGATTTCGCAACGAAACTTTGGAATATTACTAATTTTGTGATGCTCTTTCAAGCTGTGATGAAATATTTGTCTAGACTTGCCTAGATCAAAATT